TCTCTCGTGTCCTCTCCAATGAAAACACATTGTTTCCATCATAACACACAGGAAACTTTCTTTACTATCTTGTTGCCTGTATATAAGAATGGTTACCATTTGCCACCTTCAGATTACTGGACAGACAATAAAGAATAAATTCATTTACCAACCATTGGACCAATGGATGTGTGTAATCAGCTCACTTTCAAAATTGTGAGAGGAAACCAGAAATGGAATAGCTGTTTTGCTTATTGCCTCACAGTGAACGTTTCTGGTGAGACTAAAAGATGGTGGTGAGATTTCTGGGGTTGTTGCTCACTATCTTGTGGAAAAAGAAATTTAATAATCATCAAGTGAAGATTCTCTTTGAAAAGATACAGTTTCCAGTTACAAGAAGTTACGGTGTTGTGTCCTGGAAATGTCCTCATCTCTGTTTCTGTGATCAGGAATTTTCTGCTGCTTCTCAAAGTGGCTTTATTTCTCTGGGATGATTCAGATATTGGTATCTGTGCACGGTAAGCCAATATGTGATGAGAACGGAAAATCAGTTACTGATGAATTGTGATGAAATTCAGAGATGAAAAATACAAGACAGGAAGTGGCAAGACAGATTAGTGTATTAATCTCTTCCATGATTTCTGGAGATCTCATTAATGACCTTAAGTCTAACACCACTTTTAGAGGGTTTTCTCTTTTTCTAGCCCTCATATTTATACATGCATAATCAGTAGCATGGGACAAACAGTAGTCACAGAACAAGAAAACTGGAATATCATGGGAAATAGCATGCGGTGGAGGTGGGAAGGTAAGGACAGAGATTAATTGATGGAATCAAGTGTGGAATTAGTTGCAAAAAAGTACAGATACAGGTTGAAGTTGGTAGATGTGCATATTACGCACTGACATTTTGTCTCAGTCTGGCTGTGCTCGTCTCTATTCATAGAATCATAGAATCATTGAGTTCAGAAAAGACCTCCAAGATCATCCAGTCCTACAATCCACCTATCACCAATATTTCCCACTAAACCATTTCTTTCAGTGCAACTTATAAATGTTTCTTGAACACCTCCAGGGTCGGTGACTCCACCACATCCCTGGGCAGCCCATTCCAGCGTGTGCCCACTCTTTCAGAGAAGTTGTTTTTCCTAAAATCCAATTTGAATCTCTCCTGACGCAACTTGAGGCCATTGCCTCTAGTCCTATTTCTAGTTACATGGGAGAAGAGGCCAAACTGCACCTCTCCACAACCTCCCTTTGGGCAGTCATTGAGAGCGATAAGATCTCCCCTGACCCTCCTCTTCTCCAGACTAAATAGTCCCAGTTCCGTCAGCTGCTCCTCATAAGATCTGTGCTTCAGACCTCTTACCAGGTCCATTGTCTTTCTCTGAACATGCTCCAGGGCCTCATTGTCTTTCTTTTAGCAAGGCCCAGAACTGAACACGGTACTCAAGATGAGGCCTCACCAGTTCTGAGTACAGTGGGATGATCATTTCCCTGCTCCTGCTGGCAACACTTTTCTGATTCAAGCCAGGATACCATTGGCATTCTTGGCTACCTAGGCACACTGCTGGCTCATGTTCTGCCAACTGTCAGCCAACACTCCCAGGTCCATTTCCTCTGCACAATCTTTCAGCCACTCTGTCCCAGGCCTGTAGCATTGACTGGGGTTGTTTTCGCCAAAGTGCAGAACCCAGCACTTGGACTTGTTTAACTTCATCTCATTGGCCTCAGCCCAGCTATCCAGCCTGTTTGGATCCCTTTATTGGGCCTTCCTACACCCAGGCAGATTGATACTTCCTCCCAGCTTGGTGTCATCTGCAAACTTACTAAGGGTTCACTCAATCCACTCATCCAGGTCATCAATAAAGATATTGAACAGGACAGGCCTCAATAATGACCCCTGGGGAACAACACTAATGGCCATTTGCCAGCTGGATTTAACTCAATTCACCACCACTCTCTGGGTCCGGCTCTCTAGCCACTCTTTACCCAGCAAACAGTGTTCCTGTTCAAGTCATGGGCTACCAGCTTCTTCTGGAGAATACTGTGGGAGACAATGTCAAAGGTTTTGCTGAAGTCTAGGTAGACTACAGAATCTGATTCGATCTTCAATGCCTGTGGTACAGGGATTTTCCAAGTGAAATCTGATGTGTTTAGTAGCCTTGGATGGGTATTTTTACCCTGAATTTGACCAGTCATTTTCAAAATGCATCCAAACCTTTATCACCCATCACTACCCTGTTGCAAGATGTTCCTCAGTTTAAAAAAAATCTTTCGTTGTGTGAAGAAATATAATCTCAGTTTTTTTTCTGACACATCTACCTTTCTGGATTGAAATGATGTTCTAATAATGAAGAGGGGAAGGGGGGGAGAGAGTTATAAAGGAACTCTCTATTCTTTACCAATACTGAATCAGATTGTCAATTCAGTTGGATCTGATTTCAAGTTAATATTGCATGAAGCCCTTAGATATGAGCAAGTAAAGTGGGTAAGTGGATAGGCATAGCAGTTGGTAAGTGACAATGACACAATGTTAAGAATTTTATGTTCATTTCCTACTTCAAGCAAATCATTACTATTCTTCAATGAAATTCTGTGTGAATTGTCAGATCTTCAACTATGGGCAAAATCCACGTGCTCTAAATACAACCTGGAAATCAGAAAAACATTGCTGGAATCCTATTACTGTCTATGTAAGGTCTTCTAGTGGTAATGGAGAACATTCTTTTTTCAGAGTGCTGTCCATAATGCTCATTAACACAAATGTTTTAGACACCTGCAGTTTCACTAGCTTCATTTCGCTTCCTTAAAAAAATGTCTTGTGATACTGTTTTGTTGACTTATGATTCTAAAGTAATTTACAGTGTTATGAGTAAAAACTGATATTTTTCTACTCAGAGATGACTGCATTTCACTGTTGGAGGATGTGATTACTGTTTTTAGAAATTATTTCGTTCTTTGGGATTAATAATGCTTTATAAAATATATGAGACAGAGCCAAAATTATGGAAAGTAAATTTTTATTTTGTGCATTCCTCTTTTCTTGACCTCTTACTGAGCAGAGAAACTTTTAAAGCCAGTTCATTTTAAGAGAGTTCAGCACCAGAATTTCAACAGCATTCCTCCATTTTCTGTGACTGAGAGAAGTTGCAAAAAAATGATCTTAACACATAAGGCAGGAAATTACTTTGTACCTGTCACCTTCAATTCCTTTTAATCTTGCCTCCCTATGGAAGTATTTAAGCATGAGATTACTTCAAGATTACATCCTACAAAATGCTGCTGTACAGCAGTGCTGGTGCACGAGCAGGTAGTATGCAATACATATGATAGGGATTCCCTTATTTTATGACTGTTTTTATGGATATTCTGTTTTTGTAATTTTCATTTACTGTTGAACAATCATAGTTTTGACTGCTCAGTTTCATTTTTCTCCCTTTTTTTTTTTTTTTTTTTTTTTTTTTCTTAAAAAGAAGAGGAAATGGGGTACTTCTGGTACAGGACAGTGAGGAACTTGTTAGTAGTCAGACCACAGGGGACTGAAGAAAATATTTGGACCTTAGAACACTTTGTTTTGTAAATAAAGGAGGGAACACACAGCATTTTGAAGGCAACATAGCAGGCGTATGATTGGAAAGGAGACCTTATTTAAATCTGGATATTCTTTTTCTAGAGTAAAGACATAAAATTTTTCATGATGTGAGATCCTCAGGAGTATTCACCTGGAGCACTGAGTTATAATGTACTGCAGTACAGCCACCCTGCTCCTGAGGGGCTGTAACTTAAGCCATACTCCCTGCCTGCTGAGCAGCTTTTTGTCTGTTCTTTTCCAGGAACCATTCCACCAATTCTGCTGCTCAGCAGAATATGCAGCTTTCTTCAGGGAGGAGGTGTAAAGGGAATCTGTGGTCTGAGCTGATACTGCTGGGCTGGGATAATTTTGTGCTGTTTTCAGGAACATTACAACCTGTGTCCAGAGGCTGCCACAGCTTCTCTCCCTAATGGTCTGCTTTACTAATTCAACTAATTGCAGCAATTACAGGCAGGAGATGCTGCTGGGAGGAGACACCAGTACGCTTCTCTCTAACATGCTGCAGAGCATGCTGCTCATTAGTTAGACCAGCAGAAACATAAAAAGAAAAAAAGAAGAAAAAAAAAAGAGAAAGGAAAAAGAAGAAAGAAAAAAAAAAAAAAAAGAAAAATATCTCCATCTGGAAATGCAAATAAATGTTATGAGACTTGTTATGGCCATGAAGAGTCATGGTTTGGCTCACCAGCCATCAGCCCAGTTGCAGCCAGGCTGGACCCAGGTCACTGGCAGGCAGGCAGGTCGGGCTGCAAGTCAGATGGGCATACCTGAAACATGCAGCAGTTCTTCACAATGCAACAAACATGTCCTAGCTGGGGAAATGTAAAGGATTCCCATCCCAGGGGGTGCATCAGCAGAGCAGAAAGTACCTCTGCCTGAGAGTGATACATTTACAACACAGCAGAGTTCTGTTAGCTGCCAGGGTGATGAGTATTACCTGTGTCTACCTTGTACGTTTGTCTTTGCAGGAAGCATGCTCAGCCTGGGAATGCCTCATCTGTCCTGGCTGTCAGTGGGTGCCTTCTGGCAGGCCCCACGTGGTTCTGGTGCTTATCGAGGAGCGCAGCGTGCTCCAGACAGGCCCTTTGCTGACTGCTGGGGCCATGTGCCAGCCAAGCAGGTGTCGGGCCCACTGCCCTGCTGTGCTCAGCAGCACAGTGCCATCCATTGCCAACCAGAACCTCATGGCAGGCCACACCTGCGCTTACCTGAAATATTCAGCAGCACGAGTCCTCCAACAGGGGAATCCACTCCTTGCTACACTGGCATAGCTGGAGTTCTTGGTGCAAAGTAAATATTTTAGAAGTTAACTATTCTGAAACATTTTTGTCAGGTACTTAGCCGCCTCTAAAACAACCTCTTGATGCGCAAGCATCTGATATCTTTCTCCTCTATTCTTTTTCCTCTCTTCCTGACCTTTGTATGCCAGACAACAGATGACATTGTTTCATCCGCTGAATGTTCTAGCGATGATGAAGATTTCATTGACTGTGAACCCAGTACAGGTAAGTCAGGTCAGTCTTCTTTTGCTTGCTTTCTGATTTAATTTGCAAAAAACAATGCATACATATATTTATATGTGTGTGAATGTATACATATATTACTATATGTATATATATATGTGTGTGTATATGTGTATATATATATCCTTATGTATATATACACTGTATATAAAATAAAAATTATACAGCCAAGCATCAGATCCCATGGACTTGACAACAGCAACATAAAATATATTTCATCACTGATTGGTTAATGTAAAGTTGTTTGCATAGAAAGCTGTACTTCTTGAAAGTGATTCCAGCTAATTAATAGTTTACATGTTTGTAGGAGTCACTTTACTGACACAGTGGAAAATCAAAAATATCAACATGGCATGTGGCAAATAATAAAGATTTATAAAGTGTGGGGGAGTTAATGTTTGAAAACCAGAGCAAGGAAAAAAAACGAAACAATACTGATATGTTAATGCTGTTTACTCTTCATTAATTGTATTGAAATTGGACTGTGCAAGAATATATTTGTCCATGGGATTTTAAATGCAGTTAACCTGGTAATACATTTATACTAATTTTGTTTTCTGTGAGCCCAAAGAAATTGAGAAGCATCAAAACATTGTTCCAACATAACAAAATTAGTAGTAATTCTTGCCATGTTATCTGCAATGATGCTTCAAAATGTATCCGTTAAAGAGTCAGAAGGACTGGCCATATGGAACTGACTCAACTTCTTCCCTTCCAGATACATTTTGATAAACTGATGGCTATTCTTTCTGGTGAGATATATGATGTGATATCCAGCAGGCAACTGCAGTCTATTTTATTTCTTACAGGCTTTTTCAAATCGTCTTTTTTAAGGCTTGCCATGAGTTAAGCATTCTATAATAGAGAACAGACATCATCGAATTTCTGTGTACATTTTTTAAAAAGAGGGAGTTTGCTTAGAATCTTATGTCCTTAAAAGTGAAACATATAAATAGCTTAGGTTTTTTTGGTTTTTTTTTGTTTTGTTTTGGTTTGGTTTGGTTTGGGTTTTTTTGCTTGTTTTATTATCTATTTGGGTTGTTTGGTTTGTTTTTTTGCTTTAAAAAAAAATCCCCAGAATGCATTATAAATGTTCTGTCCTGAAAATTTCTTGAAGCCGTTTAATTAATACAAGAATAACACTAAAATTCACCCAAGGCTAGAGCTTTCATATTTCTGTTCAATTTGTCATGCTGTGCCTGCATTTTTTGGTAGAACTTGATCCTGCAGTAACCTGAGATTGGTAACGTCTTGTAGCTGGAAACTTCCACCATGCAGCTGCCTTCAAACTCAATAGGGAAGGGAGTGACACGATGTCTGGACTAGAAGATACTCCAGTCTACTGCCATCTCCTTTTTTTTCACAAATCTCTGTGAATTTTTAACACCTCACTTGGCAAAAGAGCAGTCCAAATATTACTGGATTGTAAAGCATAGTTGGTTGGTACGAGAATTATAAATAAAGGCGGTCGTGAAATACCAGCATAATGATTATCATGAAAGTGAGTCATGAGTTTTACAGGACCATGCTAGGAAGACTAATGTACCACAGTCATTTGCAAATGAGTGGGTAAGACTCATTTCATTAATGCTTCACATTTCAAGATGTCAGGTGTTTTTTTTGTTTGTTTTGTTTTGTTTTTTAATTCTGATTGCTAAGAATTTCAATTAAAGGAGGAAATGGGTTCTTCATCAGACTCCTATCATATATTTTTGTTATTTGTGTTTCAACACAGAAATCACAGTTACTTCAATAGCTATAAATGACAATAATAGTATTTTCAGCATATGCAGTAAGTGGAAAAATCAAAGTTGGAGGAGAAATGTGATAAAACAGGATGTTTAATGTGAAATTTCAGGGTGCCACGTTTTCCATACTAAAAATATCTGACACAGTTTGATACCTAATGCTACAAACAGCTACAAACTGGATTTGACTTGATTTTAGAAATCCTGCTATGCTTTATGGTCGGCAGCTAGAAGTGCCTACAGACATCTGAATATCTGCTATGTAAAATAATATGATACACTGGAAATCTGTTGAAGATATTCTCCTAAGCTATTAGATATTCTTTTACCACATCCTATTCCTCCTCCACTGGATGCTTGGTCCTCATCAGCCACTAAGTTATGAATTTCTTCTCAGGAATTACTGTAGCACTGAGAATAAAAGTTAGCCTGATGACATGTAAAAAAACATTCTCCCAGATGGTCCTTGTTGATGAGATTTACACTTCCAGATTTTGAGGATCCCAGCTCTCAGAGGCACTGGTGTAAAAGTTGCCAGAAGGCAGAGGGACATGGAGGTCCCTTTTGCCTCTAAAAGTATAAATTTAGTTAATTCCATCACGATGAGAAGGAACAGTGACAGGTTTGTGGTGCTCTTCATTTAGATTTCTTTGAATGTCTTTTTCTCACCATTTCCACTGCATGCAGGGATTGCAGAACAGTGTCTGCACTGCACCCGATAATGAAGCACTCCCATAGCCTGTGCCACAGGAGAGCACTAAAGCAATCTGAGCCAGCTTATAAAAATCCAGTGGTGCTGACTTGGCTGAGCAGTTAACATTTGCCTTTACACTTCACCAGCCAAGTCAGGACTCTGGCCATATGCCAAGGTCTGCTACTTAAATGTATATACAATGAGCAAAGAAAAGAGCCAGATCATTTTGCCTATATTTTCTAGTGTGAGAGTCTGTTGCTGTTGGTTTTTTAATTGGGCCCATTTGAAGTTGCTTCCTCCTGTTCGGTTGACAGGTCAGTGTATTTTACACCGCCTTCTGGCTTGCCTGATCGTTTTTGCAGCAAATTGAAAACGAAATGACTCAACCCAGCACTGGCCCCTCTTTGTTGCTCTGATAATGTGTAGTTTAAAAGCTCTTGAGTTTCTGCCAAACACCAGGAGTTGGCCTTCCATCACCCTCAGTGCTACGGTCCAGTAATGCAAAGGTTACTGAACTCAGTGCTGCAGCTGTGAGATATGAGATACATCACTGTGAACCTGCTGTGCTATAACCAAGACAAGGGCAGCTGAGATGCCGCCCTGTAAATCAAAAGCATTCAGAATTATATGAGTCAGAATAAAATCCAAAATTCTAAATATATTACTTTGGATTTGGTCCTGGATCAGAGATGGCACCCTACAGAGTCCATTTGAAGACTTTGGTATCGACACACTCAAAGATAGTTCATAAGACATAAAAACATGCACTCTTTGAGGCTAAATATCTTACGAGAATCATTTGCTAGATCTTATTGCCACTTAACTCTGATTGTCTGTTGAATCCAAGCCCCAAATCACAATAAGCATATGATACACATCTTCATACTTGCATCTCTTTAAAGGAAGATAGAGGTAATTTCTTCACTCCTTTCTCCTCTGGATTTCCTTGGCTACCTCAAGACACTCACTGTAGCAGGCTGGTTACAGCCTGTGCCCTCCTTCCAGAATTGGTTTCTGGTGGGATTTCTGTGGCCCTGGAGCTGCAACAGGAATCTTGTCCTGACTGAGACAGCTCGCAGGCATCCCCTTTAAGCACGGGTGTGCATGAGGAATTATTTTAAGTAGTGGTAATGATAGCAGTGAATCCAAAAATCTTCTGTCTTTTACATAATGAAGTCATTGCAGCTTTAGGGATAAAAACTGTGTGATATTCATTTTATTGCAGACAAGCCTAGATATCCTTAAATCTTGAGATCCATCAGGATGACTTACTGTAAAGGATACAAAGGGCACCCAACTGTTCATCTACCTTGAAGAAACATTTATTTACAGTCAAGATCAGTCCTCCTCTGTGGGAAGTGTCATTTGTCCCAAAACATGTTTGAGATCTTTCTGGTTCCTGTGCCAGAAACTCGGTGCTTTTCTCTGGTATGAGTACAAAACTCTGTTCTGGCATATCTCAGAAATCTGAGGACCAAATCTGCCGATTTCTCAAAGCTGAGGCCGGAGTACTGAATTTGGGCTTTTGAACAGGTCTGTTTCACTAGGCAGCTGTCAGAGAACAAAAGACCTGTAAGGGTAGCCCTTAAACCTAGCTACATGGCTTGGTGCAGGCTGCATCTCTTCTCTGATCTTGTTGCCAGCTTCTCCCTCCTATCTGCCTGATGATTTCCTAGGTGAATACTTTCCCACTGGATAAATTTATTCTGTGTATTTTGTTTCCCAGAAGGCTGCATACATCATAATGCTGGCAGTTTAGGAAGCCCTTCCCATGAGATACTGCACACAGCAATAGAGTGGGCCAAAAAGTACAGTACCTTGTACTGGAAATTATACTGGAAGTGCTGGATAACGTATACCTATATTCAAGAGATGTGTGTCCTTCAGGTATAGTGTCTATCAATAATTTATTGGCCTGTACTCATCCACTTCAGGCTTCTGATTTATGGGTTAGAATGATCAAGCTTCCACTCATGTAAGCTGGAGAATCAAGTACCTGCAGGCATCCAGGATCACAGATTTATTTGCAGAAACAAGCAGAATCTCTCTTGCAAGAATCTGCTAGGAAGCTATTATGGTACACAAAGCACTATACTGAACGTGGAGAAACCTGGGCTGAAGAGGCCAAGAGATGTGCTAATTTGACTCCTGTCCTCCATGATCCATTTCAAGCTTTTTGAAGCATCCTGGGCATTTTCACTGCTCTCTTGGAAGAAACACTGTCTCCAAATCCTGTGCTCAGCTATCCCTAGTCTCTCCATCTGTGAAGCACATGAACCTCTGTTCCATTTCTCATGCTGTGAACAAGGAATGCCCTTTAAAAATGGGTGCGTGTCTCAGAGTGTGCTGAGAAGTAGCCTTTTCATCTTCCAGACTGAATGCCAACTGAATGCCATACCAGTCTGAAGGAGGAAGTTTGCTCTATGGCACTTGCCCGCATGTGATAGCAACACTTGTTTGGTGGAATTTCCTAGCTACAGTCTTATGGCTATTTAAAAAAAAAAAAAAAAAAAAAAAAAAAAAAAAAGAATGAACAGGTTTTACCAATC